TTTGGTAACCATCAGTTTTTCATTATTCTTTAGGTAATCTTTTTTAAAGTCAATCTTTCATGAATTTTAAGAAAAACCTATAGTCACTAAGCATTTCTGCACAAAGCAAATGCACCCCTCCACTCAGGATGATTTAATTCAAATTTAGTAGATTAACTTCAGAGAAATGGCTTCTTTTCCTAATTCAATGGTTTAATTCCTCTTCATTTCAAAATCAAAGTTAGAGTACCAAGCTGAAGGAAGAGCTCCAGAGGTAATGCATTCATCCCAGACATGACTGACTTGTTATCCTTGTCATCCCATGTCATATCCATGTCATTTACATGTTGTAAAACTACTGACACATGTAATGACAGGGACATATATTTTTTTTAAATTTTTTTAATTTAAATTCAATTTAGTTAACATATATTGTATTATTAGCTTCAGGGGTAGAATTTAGTGATTCATCAGTTGCATATAACACCCAGTGCTCATTTCATCAAGTGCCCTCCTTAATGCCCATCCCCCCACCCACCTCCCCTCCAGCAACCCTGTTTGTTTCCTAGAGTTAAGAGTCTCTTATGGTTTGTCTCCCTCTCTGTTTTTATCTTATTTTATTTTTCCTTCCACTCCCCTATGTTCATCTGTTATGTTTCTTAAATTCCACATATGAGTGAAATCATATGGTATTTCTTTCTCTGACTGACTTATTTTGCTTAACATAATATCCTCCAGGGACACCTGGGTGGCTCAGTTGGTTAAGCATCTGCTTTCGGCTCAGGTCATGACCCCAGGATCCTGGGATCAAGTCTTGCATCAGGCTCCTTGCTCAGCGGGGAGCCTGCTTCTCCCTCTGCCTGCCGCTCCCCCTGCTTGTGCTCTCTCTCTCTCTGACAAATAAATAAATAAAATCTTTTTTAAAAATACCCTCTTGTTCTATCCACATCATTGCAAATGGCAAGATTCCATTCTTTTTGATGGCTGAATAATATTCCATTAAAAAATAAATATTTATAAATAAAATAAATAAATAAATAAATATATATATATACATTTATTCAGCTGTAGATGGAAATCTGGGCTCTTTCCATCTTTTAGCTATTGTGGACATTGCTGCTATAAACACTGGGGTGCATGTGCCCCTCCAAATCACTATTTTTGTAGCCTTTGGTTAAATACCTGGTAGTGCAAGTGCTGGGTCATAGGGTAGCTCTATTTTTAACTTTTTGAGGAACCTCCACACTGTTTTCCAGAGTGGCTGCACCAGTTTACATTCCCAACTACAGTGTAAGAGGGTTCCCCTTTCAACATGGACATATTTTAAAAATCATTATGCTAAGGAAAAGAAGCCACACAGAAAGGACTATATACTGAAGGTTTCCATTGTTTATGCTATTCTGAAAGACAAAACCATTTCGGCAAAAATCGGATGAATCTTTGCCAGGAACTAGGAATAAAGAGAGGACGCTGAATGCAAAGGGCTATGATGGGACATTTTTGGAATAGAAATACTGTATATTTTGATTATAATGGTGTTTATATGCTTGTACACATTTGTCAAAATTCATCGACCTGTATACTTAAGAAGGGAGAATTTTAGGGGTGTCTGAATGGCTCAGTTCATTAAGCATCCGACTCTTGGTTTCAGCTCAGGTCATGTCTCAGGGTTGTAGGATCGAGCTCCACGTGGGGCTCTGTGCTCAGGAGGGAGCCTGCCTGGGATTCTCTCTCCCCTTCTCCCTCTGCTCCTCCCCTTGCTTGCATGTACTTTCTCTTTCTCAAATAGATAAATAAATCTTTAAAAAAAAAAGAAGGGAGAATTTTACTGTATATAAACCATTATTTCAGTTCATCTATTTTTTTATTAACATATAATATATTATTTGTTTCAGGGGTACAGGCCCGTGACTCATCAGTCTTATACAATTCACAGCGCTCCACGTACCCTCCCCAATGTCCATCACCTATTAAGTCTAACTTAAACAAAAATAATAGCATACCAAGGTCTAATGGACCAAGGATGAAATGATCATCTTCCTTAATTGGGATAACACATTAAAAATGAAATTTGAACTGGTATTTGATTTAGGGCAACCATTTCACAGTTTTGTTTTTTATCAAGCTTATAATCCATTAAAATGTCCCGTATGTGTCTAGTTTTTAAAAAAATCAGTACATTGAATACTACATCATAAACTAATGAGGTACTATATGCTGGCTAATTGAATTTAAACAAAAATCAATCAATCAATCAATCAATCAATCAATGTGGTACTGTAGCTTAATCTTTAAAGATTCCATCTGATATATTTATTTCTACCACATGAATCTAGATCTTTTTTATTCTGTACATTGCTATACAAGAGTATACTCCATATAATCTTATGTCATCCACAATTTAGTCAGCATGTTTTGTAAAAAAAAATATTGTTCTTTGTAGAAAAATCATTTTTAATTTGTTTTTGTTTAGTTTACACTAGATTATATGAAACATGTATTTGTATATGGTAACAGAATCTAAGTAAACTGATGAAATATAAAGGTCCTGAAGACTGATAAAATGTCTTCTCAAGTGAAGTTACTTATGTTCTGTTATAATCAGTTCCTTTTTTAAAGAAAAAAGATTCATTTATTTATTTGATGGGGGAGGGGCAGAGGACGAGGGAGAGAATCTCAAGCACACGGCTGAGCATGGAGGCCGAGGTGGGGCTTGACCCTAGGACCCTGAGATCATGACTGGGCCAAAATCAAGAGTCAAACGCTGAACCAACTGAGCCACCCAGGCACCCCAGTTCCTTTTATTTTTTCAAGGAAACATTTTAAATCTTTTTTAAAATGCCACTAGTGTTAAATTATTTTAAATTATATAAATTACTGTGAGGTTTTATTTCTTTCAGTTCTCTTCACCTTTATATTTTTAAGTGTATTTATATATTTTAAAGAAAAATATCTGGCATTAAATAATTGTATGCAAATATATCTTAAATTACTATATATGTATTTGTTTTGTGTTAATAAAATTCAATATAGTTAAGTAATTCCCATTTTTTTAAATTGCATATGCTTTTGTTTGAATCTGTGATAATCCTACCTTTCTAATTTGTCCTATACAGCACACATATGCTCTCTCTCAAGTGAAAGGAAATTTTCTTTGAGTAAATTAGAACTTATATACTAATCCTTAGATTAGTATAGAAACATTTTCAACTACTGAACGAAAAGATTCCTCCCCCAAGCAGATAAGAAGGTACATCTTCCATGTCACTATTCATTATTGATAAACCATGCTGTACTTTTAGATAATTAGGTTTAAATGCTAATATTTTACAGTTCTCTATTACAAGATGTACAAAGATATTTTAAAAAGCAGTATATTCTCAGACACTTCTACAGATAGGTATTTCCCTGGATTTGATAGACCTTAATAGTTTGTTATTTCTATTTGCTTATGAATTTCAATGATTACTTATCTTCCAAAGTTCTCAAAATACAAATATTGTAACATGCGAGAAGGAAAAGACAAATTTTAAAATAACCCTCCCCAGTTGCCGGATACTTGAGCTCATACTTTTTTCCTGATCACTCATTTGGACAGAAATATCTTAACTTTCTAAGAGAGATATCTGCAGATATCTTTTGAGTTTTTTTCCAGGCAGGTAAGAGAGTCAGAATGCAAAGCAGTACAAAGCACATGAGGAATTCACTTACAGACCTGGATATAATTTAGGGCATGCACAATGGGGTTTTGCTGATCTCAAATGTACAGATTTATCTATTTCATTTTTCATAATGTCTTCTTTATTATACTACATATGGAAATGTCAGTGAAAACTATTAAACTAGAAAATACTTTATGAAAATCATAAAATGTTAGTTTGCATTACATTTCAATCAGGCATTATGGCTAAAGTAAAGCACCATTCATTATCTAGTTCAGTTTCTATGATACTCACTGGAAACTCTGTGGGAATCTAAAAGGTCATTTTTAATATACACCGATAACCCTTCAGGTTGAGAGAAAACCACCCCCCAGTGGTGACATTATTACTTTCATTCTGAGAAATAACACATATCATTTTATCTGTAGTATAAGTCATAAAAAGAATACAAAAATAAAAATGAACTCAACTAATAAACAGGAAAGATGTTCTGAAAAACTCTTTGAAACAGCCTGGAAATGACTAAATTCTTTTTTAAAAATTTTATTTATTTATTTGTTTGTTTATTTATTTGAGAGAGAGAGAGAGCAAGTGCTCGAGCAGGGGGAGGGGCAGAGGGAGAGAATCTCCAGCAGACTTTGTGCTGAGGGCAGAGCCTGACTTTAGGATTAGCCTCAGGACCCTGAGATCATGATCTGAGCAAAAATCAAGAGTCAGATGCTTAACCGACTGAGCCAGCCACCCAGGAGCCCCCAGAGTGACTAATGTTTTTTCTTTTAAATAAATAGCTCTAGTGAGACATTATCACAAACTACATGTTTTTTTTTTCAAGTTACTCTATAGGAAAATGCATGCTACCCTTTCCCATAAGTATTTTTCAAATAGTATTTTCTAAATATCTTGGAATTAGTTACCACTATATTCTAGAAACTAGACACAAATCCTGCTTTTAGGGGACTTACAATGTTGTCAAAAAGATAAGGCAGATCTCACATTTGCTCAAAACATGAGTGAGGGGGAAGAAGTCTAAAAGTAAACAAATTTACCAAAAAATGTCAAGATTAACAGAATTAGGAACTTGAGAGTTAAATTCAATTTTTAGAAATAAATTTACATTTTTACATATGTTCTCTGTAACTGTAAAATTCTATCTACAACTATCACCATAGCAAGAACAGAATTGCAGAACATAAGAAACTGGTTAAAGGAATATTGATAAAAGAATAAGCAATAGATTGTTTCTTAAAACATAGATGGTTTTGTGCATATTAAAAATAAACGAAAACATCAAGACATGTCAAATTATAGAGAAATAGGCAGTTTTGTATAATCATTTTATTAAAAAGTAGTTCATCTTACCTCTATTACCAGTTGCCGAAGAGATGGTGAAGCCATGGAATGTAGACTTGAGTTACCCCTTATGGGACTGTGGAGACTAACGTAAGCCACAACATTTCTCTGCAGAACCTTCTTGAAATCCTGAAACCAAAACAAACAAACAAATAAAAAACCATTAATAAAAGTAACAGATTTTACTTTATCAGTTATGTGTTGAATAATAAACACTCCCTACTTAAAGTCATTACATTACACAACTACTGTTTTAAAAAAAAATGTACGCTATTAGAGTGTACAAAGGTCATAAAAGGATTTTAAATAAAAGGGATAAGGAGTTACATATCACACATGACAAAATATTTTTAAGCATGTTCCTGAAAAAAGTCAAATCTTAAAAGGAAATATTCTTAAATGGTTAACCTAGTATAAGATTCAACTTTAGAGTACAGAATGGAAAGTTTACTCTAGCCACAGCACTTAATTTTATAGTTACTGAGTTAGAGAACAGACATGGGTAAACTACTAGGGTGATTAATCAAACTAGGCCTTTCCTTTGAGACAATGAGCTCATTTTTACATGCAGTAGCTCTTTATTCTGAACAAAATGGGACATAATACACCTTTGTCCCTGCACATATTACCTGAAATAAAACCTGATACATTTTATGCACATGAGTAGCATAAAATGATTTCAGCAGAATAGTTCTACTTCTCTGCTGAGCTCTATCCCCCAAAACTGAAGACTACTGAGCCTATTAATAAGGTGCTGCTAAGAAGGCCTGATGTTATATTCCTCCTTTTTTGCACAAATATTTAATGACTAATCATCATGGTGACAATTCTATAGAAATGACCTAAAAACTGACCTAATTCATGTCTTAGGACCTTACCTTTCTTCCTCCAACACTATGACATGAAAGACAGCAAGAGCCTGTCTCCCTAGCAAATCAGTATGTGACTCCTATTTTAAGTTGAAAATTCAGTTACACCTCTGTGAAATGGTGAAAACATTCCATTTAAAATTAATAAATGTTTTAAATGGACAGGAATGATGAACTGAAACTTAAATACTCCACTTTGCACATAATGTTGTTTTAAAAAAAAGTCCCTATTTTCGAAAAAAATGCCCCACAAGTGCTGTGGAAAAACAACTTCTATTTACACACTAGCACAGAGACACTGTCTATATGTTAGTCCATTTTACACTCATGAGAACCTCACATTAGTATACATGTGGAGGAATCAAGTCTTGGATAAAGTTAATCTCGCCTAAGACCGCAACGTTTTATGGTAGAAAGAATCTGAAGTCAGACTTTCTGACTGTAAATTCTGTAACATTTCCACAGTAGCCTGTGAAAAATGAAGAATCTTCAAAAGAAGAAATGGTACTTTTCATTTAGTAAATGGTACTATTTTATTTAGAAACTGTACTACTTATTTAGTAAAATATGGTAATTTTCCTCAAGGATCAAGATCAGTATTAAGTCACTTCTGTAATAACTCTATCACTATAAATTTCAGTTTTAAGTTTATTGACCAATATCACCTAATCTTTTTAATTACAGCTGTGGGTTTCAAGGGTTTCCTCTGCAAGCAGAATTAAATACAGCAATAGGACATGTCAACAAGTGCTTTCCTCATTCGTCTTCACTAGGAAATCAGGTTAGAGCATAAAGTAAATGTTTCGTTCTCAGGAGTAGATTTGGTAAAAGTAGAACAGGAAAACCAGTAGTTTTCTAAATTCCTTCTCAACTATTTAGTTATAAAATGGCTTCATGAACAGTATTGTAATAATCTTCTGAGATATAGTAATTTTACATAGTATATTTTATGAGCCAATAATCAAATCTTTATGTTATTCACCATCTTCTTCACTCTTGTATCTTTGCCTACCTAGTCATGGAAAAAGCCAGAAAGTGACTGAACTGATAATTAGTTGCCAAACATGCATATATACATAAATATGTTAGGACAGAGGTCCCTACTTTTTCTGAATAGGAAGAGCCTTTTTTAACATAAATACTATTTCCTATGGACGCCCACATTATTTCTCTATCTGCTGATAGAGAAAAATATAAAATTATTGAAAGATAAAATGAATTTGGTAAAACTTACAAATAAATTTATTTTACAATAAATTTATATTTTATCAAAAAGAAATCTCCTCAATTTGAAAATATAATTGCCCATATACATGCAAGGCCTCTTTATTGATTCAATTTACAGGCTATCATGCTTGACGGTCAAATAAATTCAAAGACTTTTTGCAATGCACTTCCCCATGCATAGGGGCTCAGGATATATAAGTTAGGGACTACTAATGTTGGACAAGCCGACTTTCAGAACATAGCTTAGAAATATACGAGTTAATTTAGGATTAATATAAATTTAATGTGAAAATTACTAGACTGATACGGAGAAGGCTGTATGATATAGAGGAATAAATTTTTGGAATTTCAAAATCTTTAAGACACTCTTTTTAAAATGCACCTTAATGTTGCAAGAAAACTAAAATACTATTTTATGATGAAAAGAATTCCGAAATACTAAAATCAGCCCAGATTACAAATATATTTCCCAAATTGCTTTTTAACCTGTTTATGAAGTAAGTAATTTGGAATAAAGTCTGAAAGGTTGGTTTAGCTATTACATTTTCCATCTAACTAAAAATATGTCAATTTAAAAATGTTCTTCCAGCAATAGAATTTATTCATTTGAATTAGTTCTTTTGAATATGGAACAAATAGTTACACAACTAATTTGAGTATGAAAAATATTCTAATATGCAACATTTATATCTTGATAAATTTTACACTAAAATTTTTCCATTCTTAAAACTTCTTTTTCTTCAAATTAAAAAGACACTTGCTATTTTCTTTTGTGTATCTTTTTGATATTTCCCTTGAAGTCAATAGACATTTTATCTTTTTTTTTTTGAGTTCTTAAATAAAAAATGAAATAGAATTTCCCATTAGATACTTAGGTTGTTTTTTTTTTTTCTCCAAAGCTGAGATAGTAAATAAACTAGAATATCAAATAGTTGTATTTTCCTAGATAAAATTGTATAGATTTTCTCCTACATTTTCCACTAACCCTTTTAAAAAAAAAATCATAAAGCAAATAGAATATCTCAGAGTTTTAAAATGTTTTCATTGTTTTTAATATGGCATCAATCCAATTATCAGTTGATATATCCCATTAAAAATACAGTGCATCTGTGAAACACAGACCTATCAAAAGCATTTGAAACTTAAACATACCAGTGGTATTCTAACTATGACCCATTGCATGCTAGATTTCATTTGGACAAAGCCTTCCTAAGGTAGTTTAGGTAGGTAGGTAGGTTAATAGATAGATTTTTAGGAAAGAAGGAACAGAGAGATAGAAGTGTAGGAATAGAAGGAGGATGGAATGGAGGGAGTGAGAAGGAAGGAAACCACTATTTTAAGCTATGGTATGATGCTAAGATAGTAGATATTTAACATAAGAGACTGTTTCCTAATTCCAGATAATTGCCAGAAAGTTAAAAAAAAAAAAAAGTAATTGTATGTATCACCTGATCTTTTCTTGTCCAGTAACTATCAACCCGTCTAAGGAGAAACACAATAACCAGGTAAAAACAATTGTGGGCATATCAAAGTCTGCAGGTCTGGTAGCAACAAGAGTAAGATAGTAGCAGATCATACACAGTTCACTGGCGTCTAATTCCCTCTCAATCTTATAGGTGATCTCAGCAAGTTAGAAGACAGGACAACTGGGTTGAAAGGTACATTCTTATCCCTGGCTTCAACAACTTTACTTTGTCAACTTAAGTCTAAAAGAGAGAGAGAGAGTGCATGAGAGCACAGTAATTAATCTACATTTACCTCTCCCCATTCATATGAGCCAATATTGCCAAAAGCTGTTCCTCCCCATGAACAGAAAACAATTGTGCGGTCTGGTCTCCACCCTTTCTTAACTCTTAACATCAAGGCCCGGATAAAAGCGGTGATGATGGCAGTGCTGCTGGCCCATTCTTGTCCGTAAGGACCATATGTGGTATGATGGTGGCTGCCAACTATGATATACCGGTCTGGAAATAGAAGGAAACAAGGGCCATTAAAGCAAAATATAAACCTTAACAATAAATTTAATGACATTTACATAATCCTGTTGCACAACTGAGCACCAATTATGTAAAATCGTCCTAATAATTAAGAGTACTTTAACATTTTTCACCCACTGTCTTGATTCACACATCTGTGTATATCAAAGCAGAGGCAGCTGTTGAACTCAATTATGATTCCAAAGCTTAGATCCATGTTACTGTCCTTTGCAACATGCATATTAATTAATGAAGTATACAAATATGCCACAATGAAACCTTTATCTAACATTTTCCCAGAATCATAATGGGAAGTGTCCTGTAAACAATGTGTGTATGCTCAGTAAATATTAATGAACTATTAATACATATGAGGGAGCAGTCATTCAGTAGCTGTAAATATTAAATAAAGTGGTAGTCATATATGGATTTGGAAATAAATGAAGTATTTAGGGAATTAATTATAGCTTCCAACTTAGAGTTTTAGCTCCTCTCATTTCCCTGAAGGAAAAAAAAAATCAACATCAAAAGTCATCCAACTACTGTAAAAGTTTTCTTTTCACATTATTTCATAAAATCATACAAAATTCATTAGACACAACATAAAAAGATCTCCATAACACATGGATGGGGCCTGCTCAGTGTACATTACTGACTATTGTCAATAATAAGGTAGAAAAAACTCTATCTCCAGAGTTTCTTCTGATTTGGTTGCCACTGAATGTTGCTGGTATAGAATTCTATTTCACCAAGTAGTCCTATACATCGGTGTAAAAAGATTTCTTCACTGAGTGTCATTTTATTCAGAGATGTTCTATAGCTCAATGGTGCAGACTCTGAAGCCAACCCTGCTTGGGTCTGGATCCAGACTATTCGAGTTACTAGTTGTGTGACCTTGGAAAGCTTATCTAAGCTCTTTATGCCTTGATTTCTTCAAGTATAAAATGAAAATACAAATACCACATACATCATTCACTTGCTTTGAGTTTTAAATGAGTTACTAAGTGTAAAGCACTTTGAACAGTGTCTGACACATAATAAGTACTACCTGTGTGCGGAATAAATGAATTACTCCTTTACTTCATGGCATCCAAAAGTTATTGGACAGAAAATCATTGCATGAAGTTATTTTAGTTTTCTACACTGATTTTAGAACCAGCAGTGAATTTGATCTGCCAACATTTTATCAAAATTTAATTAATGGTATATCCAGGGTAGTTGCAAATGTTGAAACTCAGGGAATTTATTTACTCATCTCCCAGATATGTGTGAAAGTTCTTCTTGGGATTATCTGTATTCTAGATAAGCCATATCCAAAAGCCTTAATGATTGTTTCTAATTTTCAGAGTCATTAAATAAGAAAATCATGTGAATGAACAGCCAATATTTTTGTGTAGAATTCAAATAAACAAAATTTGGGAAGCTTTGCTTATTATACACTGAAGAATATTACTGGTAAATTGATTTTAAGAAATTGATTTTTTTTCTATATTGAATTTCAATTAGGAAAGCTCTTTCACCCTCAAGCTAGTATAGTTTTGTACAATTTGGTTTTTCCATAAAAACTTGTAAATGTAGCAATGATGATAAATATTTCTGGTGCTTCAATTAGAGATTCTTATGATGGAAATTTGTTGAAATAGTTGAAATGCAGCCATGACAATTTCCAAACCCATTTATATCTTGTATTGAAAGACATTAAAATCAGAGGTTGAAAGACATTAAAATCAGAGGTTGTTCAACATTGCTACTGTAAAGAAATCAGAGAAAATATGAACCTTCCATAAATTTTCTAAAAGAGTTGGCTGGCAAGAAACTTGGGGAGAGGTAAAACTTGATCTCAAAATTCTCTAGGTTATCAATTACAGGGTCAATTTGACTAAAGTTGTGGAGAAAAATAATTCTCCAAGGAGAACCAGAGTCAATATCCCAACCAAATCAACAGAAGTGGCATAAGACTGCTGCATTCTACCCTGTATGCCAAGCACTCAGACAGCAGGATGTGGCTCAATCTCACAATGCATTCAGGAGAATCTCTTAATTAATATATGTACTAGCTAGTTTTACTTTTTTTAGCCTGCATCATATTATCTGAAGATGCCATGAACATCCCAGAGCAAGGTGTACAATTATTTAAAATTTAGCCGGGTGATCATTTTCATAAGCATCTTCAAAACCTAAAGCCATGCAGACATTAGGCAGAACTGTCAGTGGACCAAGGTTCAGAGACAGAATATAGATTAGCACTGAAAGATTAGATTTTGGAGATAAAAACTTCATTGTTTTTTTAAAGACACCATTAAAACTAAAATATTTTCTTTCTTAAAATGTCCTTTCTTGATAAAAGTAAAAACTCCAGTGGTTATGTTATAGTGAAGAATAAACAAACAAACAAAAAACATTGGATTTTGTAGCTTTTCTTCATGAGACACATGCCAATTTAACAAATCTAAACTCTGTTTTCTTCTTTTGTTTTGTTTTGTTTCCCTTATACTCTCTACTTTGATTTATTTTTGAAGAGAGTAAGAGAGAGAATAAAGACCTACTTCTTGGTTTCCTACTGACTCACTCTGAGAGTGGTATGAACTAGTTACATCTGAATTAGGAAATGAATTTAATTATGTTCTTACATTGTTATAGAGCATTTTCTTTTGATGGTTTAATAAATTATAAATACATAGAGAATCTCAGCCCTACTTACCTGGAGATGTCAAGCCCTTTAAATATCCAACAACATTAGTAACTGTTTTGAATTTTGTAACTGTCTGAACTTGCATGTTGACAATTCTTTCATCTGAAAAAAAAGTAAGATATTTATTTTTCTATATTCTGTTTTTTCTTAAAACATTCAAATTAATTTATCTAATTTCACCAGCAAAAGAATTCCAAACAATTGAATTTTTTAGAAAATCAAAGTTATACCTTTTGACAAATATCTATTCAATACTTTGTGTCAACTCTATTTTAGGTACTTGTTATACAATGATGACTAAGTTACCATTGCTGGCCTCACAGACCTGCAGAGCTATAAAAAGGGAGCTCTAAGCTACAATTAAGTTCAATATGAGAGCACCCAGAAGACCTCAGGGAGATGTGGACAACTCATATTTTAAAAAAATACATATCAGATAAAAATATTTCTGAAGAAATTTAAGTACTTTTCTAGCTTCAGAAAAAAGAACATGTGGAAGCTAATTTAACCTTCCTGTATGACTCATTATTACATTATCACATTGAAAACTGTAAAGCATTACAGAAATTAAAAGAATAAAGGTTTCTAAAGTTAGACATATTTCCAAATATTGCAGTCTTCATTTTCACCTGTGTTGACTGCTTCTCACCTGTATTCTAAATCTCCACCAAATTGCTCTGCCTCTTTGAGTTCTTGTATTCATGCCTGATATTCAAAAATTAAGGCAACAAATAAGGCAAAGACACCAATCAGGAGATACTTCAGTCATAGTCCTGAAGCTGTCTTTGAAGGCCTTTAGGGGTGACATGTATTAATCCTGTGTTTGATGGATCCTGGGAAGTCTGGGGGTAGGAAGTTTCTAGGAGAGGTTCAAGGGCAGCCACGAGGTTCTGTTGGGGGTGGGTAGGGGTGGCCATTAGAAAGCAGCTAATGCAAAGCAGTAGCACTATACTGACAGCCTTCAGATGTCACTTCTTTCTAGTAGATGAAAATTGATATGATAAATAAGTTTCTTCTTTCCTTGAATGTACCCTTTCTAACCATTTAAATGAGAAATCAGTATTCTGAATTTGTTAAAATTAAAACTAAAACAGGAGTAAAGACACCACGAGAGAATGCCTGAGCACCTCATATATGAGAAACGGAAATCTGCTTAGAGCCCGAGTATTGTGGTTTTAATTTAGGTGCTATGCATTTTTGTCTGCTTTAAATTAATATACTTGGTTTTTTACAGCAGTTTCAGATTTATAGAAAAATTGATCAGAAAATACAAAGTTCCCAAATATCCAATCTCTCTCCCTTGCTCCTATTAACATCTTTCATTTGGGTGATCTATTCATTATCATGATAAGCCAGTATTAATACATAATTATTAACTAAAGTTCATAGTTTACATTAGGCTTCACGCTTTGTGTTATACCTACTATGGATATTGACAAATGCATAAGGGCATGTGTCCAACATTACAGTATCATACAGAACAGTTTCATTGCCCTAAAAATCTCCTGTGCTCTACCTTTTCATCCTTCCCCTACTCCCTCCTTATTGAACCCCTGGCAACCACTGATCTTTTAAATTTCTCCATAGTTTTCCTTTTTCCAGAACATCATATAGTTGGACTCATACATTTGTTTTTTGTTTTGTTTTAAGATTTATTTATTTATTATAGATAGATAAATAGCAAGGGTGAGAGGCAAAGGGAGAGGGAGGAGAGAATCTCAAGCAGACTCCCCACTGAGCACAGAGTCCTAACTCCTGGATCATTTGTCCTTGTCTGATTTTGGTACCTGGATTATACAGCCTCACAAATGTTTAGGGATATTTGCGTCTTTTCCTGGATTTTCTAAGAGTTTATATGTAGCACAGGGATTATCCATTTTACAAAGGAGTACTAGGATTCACACATAAACTATTTGGTCCTCATAGTTTGTGTGTGGGGTGGAGAAGGAGGGTACATTCTCACTTAATGTATATTTTCATTTCATTTAATTAATATTTTAATTCAATTAAATTCAATTAAATTCAATTCATTTAATTAATAAATATTAATGGTTATAAATACATTCAGATTTTAACATGTTCATTTCTTCTAAATTTATTTGCACTTAATTGTTCATGCTTCCAAAAAAAGAGAATAAAAAAAAAGAAAATCATTGCCATATATAGTTGTTTTTTGTTTTTTTGTTTTTTTTGGTCCTCTCTTCTAACATGAACTCACTCATCTTTTTTTCCCTTATCAGTTTTGCCAGAAGTAGCTAATTTATTAGTATTTTCAAATGGGATTCATAGATCCTCATTATATATTTTTTCAACTTCAATATTATGTTCTATGCTTACCATTACCTTTGCTCAATTTCACCTGGATGCATTTAAGGCTACAGATTTTTTATATAGATGTGGTATATTAATTTCAACATATAGTCTTATTATTTTACATTCTCAATTTTAGAATTTTACTACCATTCTTTTTTTTAACACTATTCTGAGTTTGCAGGTTATTTTTTAAAAGATTCACTTATTAATTTGAGAGAGAGAGAGAGAGAGAAAGAGCAGAGAGAAGGGGGAGAGGGAGCGGAAGAGAGAGAATCTCAAGCAGACTCCCCGCTGAACCTGAGGCGGGGCTCGATTTCAGGACTCTGAGATCATGACCTGAGGCAAAACCAAGAGTCAGTCACTCAACTGACTGAGCCAGCCAGGGACTCCCCTATCATTCTTCCTATAATACATATAATACATTAGCTCAAATATTTTTTTAAGTATCCAAATACAAGGTGTATGTTATTATTGATATCTAACTTAATTATGGACAGTAAGCAAAGTCTGTAAGCTATTGATTCTTTGATATTATGTGAGAATTGTTTTGTGACCCTGTTGTCTATTACATCCAATAAACAGAGAATATACATTTTAATAAAATGTTCCATAGAAAAACATGCATTCCCTATTACATGACTGCAGCATTTCATATGTATGTCCAGTAGATGAAGCTGGAAAACTGTGTGGTTATAACTTTATTAATTGTATAATATTTTCTCTATTATTGAGACATGTTAAAGTTTCCCATATGATTTGTCTTTATCAATGCCCTGGCAATACTATCAAATTTTTCTCTGCGTATTTTTAGACTAGTTACTTTCATGCATTCAAGTTCGGAATTGCTATATCTTTCTGATTTCTATATAGAATATGTAGAACAATTATTCTTTGCATCTTCTCTATCCCAATTTTTTTTCCTAAACTCTTCCTCCCCACTTCCCCTCTGATATTAATAAAATTATTCTATCGTTCTTTTGCTTAGTATTTCTCCAATATATATTTTCCCTGCATTACATTTACTTTTGCCAGGCATCCCAGGGGCATCTCTGGCTCGGGGATAATTTTCATGCAAATTTCTTGGCTTGCAGTTTCGGTACTACAATAGTCGTGGAAATTCTGAGCTAGAGTTTTGGGGTTTTTTTTAAGATTTTATTTATTTATTTATTTGACAGAGAGAGACAAAGCGAGAGGGAACACAAGCAGGTGGCATGGGAGAGGGAGAAGCAGGCTTCCCGCCGAGCAGGGAGCCCGATGCGGGATTCGACCCAGAACCCTGGGATCATGACCTGAGCCGAAGGCAGACGCTTAACGACTGAGCCACCCAGGAGCCCTGAGCCAGAGTTTTTGATTTCTAAATACAGATTTTTTTTTTCACCCAGAGTTCAGATAGAAGAAAGGTTTCCTCCACCAGTGGGTGAGTTCCTTTCTAGTCTTCCTACTACCCCCATAGTCCTGCATTTATATAGGAATGCTAGTTACAACTCCCTGCTCCCTATAGGCACATAACTATGTCTTCTGTCCTCATGTACTGCTATATTCCCACTGTAATTTACCAGAATCCATAACTTCCCACCACCAGGCAACCACCAGGTAAACTCTTTTGCTTATTTCTCTGATTTTTTGTTCCATCTTTATTTTTGCTTCTGGATATTTGACTTTCTTTTTTAATAGCTGCTTTTTAAAATGCTTTGTCTTCTATTTCATACAGTCCTCAACATTTGTATGGAAGCATTTCAAATACTTTATCCTGACCTCTTTACATCTTAAAGATGTAAGGAGACCATCTTCCCCTATCGCTCCACTTTGTAACACCAAATCCCTGAAAACTGAGGCTGCCCGGGGAACTGTCAGAAGACACGAAGACTCCCATTATGCAAACCCAGAAAGATAAAAACTGGGGTCTGACTCCAGTTCTGCCCTCCTATAAGTCATAAGACAGTAGCTAATACTTTCAGAGCAACAAAAACTCCCAGACTAGAATAACTAGATATCTGGCTGTGAGGTCCACAACCACACAAAAGAAACATAAGGAACATATATCCTACCTAAAATAAATATATTGAAACATACAACACATGAATTTAAAAATAAGCATCATAATTAAACACAAGAAGAGAAGGGGATCCATTAGCAAAAAGAAACAACCAGAAAACATTTTAAAAAGAAAAAATAATAGGTAAGGAAATAGAATAATTAGAAGAAATATGACAACAGATAGGATTAATAGATAGAGATGGTAAGTAATAGATATAACTGACAACTGAATTTAAGAGCTATATCAGATGAGAAATTTTTCCAGCAACCACAGAAAACGATAAAGAGAGAAAATAGGAAAGTACAATTAAAATTCATGGTGGATAGAAATAGGATTTCTAGAAACGATACAAGAAGAAAAAGAAAAATAAATGGAAGAGAGAAAATATTTAAAGAAATAATATTTTTCCAGAAAAAGGGAAAAACACATCTATATATTTTATTTTATTTTTGTTTTGATTTGTTTTTGTTTTTGCTTTAAAGATTTTATTTGTTTATTTAACAGAGAGAGAGAGCACAAGCAGGGAGAGCGGCAGGCAGACAGAAGCAGGCTCCCTGCAGAGCAGAGATTTACAAATATGGAAAGAAAAAAAATTAGGTATTGATAAGTCCTTCTGGTTTTCTAGATAGATATAAAAATAAATAAAAATATAATCTGTATGTACACACATATATATTTATACATATTTATATTAAAATATATTTCCCTAGTTTTGTTTACTAAGTACTGAAAGAAATAACACTCCAATAGC